GAAGTCCAAGGCAAATATGGTGTGACTTAGTTCAAAGATATGGGCAGGTTTCCAAAGGACATACATGTTATATATCCTATTATTAGCTGGTTAGAAGACTTGGGACCTCAGAAGACCAGAATATGGATAAAAATATAGGTATCATATATTTACGGGTGATATCTGAAGTCATAAAAATAAGAATGTATGGAAAGACAAAAAGGCAAAGAAAGGAACATGAGAAAAATTGACATTTAATAGCTGAACAACACAAGAGAAACCACAATGCCGACAAACACAATGTTCAAAAAGTTAAAGAGGGTGAAGAGGAGAATTCAATGTTTTAGAATAAGGGAGAACCAATAGTTTTGAGATAAAAGGAGTAATCAATAGAGTTAAAAATAATAAAGGCAGGAACAAAATGTTTCTGACACAAAATGGTAAAGACCATTGGTGAATTTTTTTCTTATTTGGTTTACTTGAAATGGTAGAAGAAAAATCTGATTGAAGTAGGGTGAAGAGCAAAAATCTGAATGCAGTAGAGTAAGAAGTAAATTAAAAATAAAGTAGTAGCCACAGCCAATGAAGACTGCTTTTCCAAGTTGTTTTGGAAGAGAGAAACTACTGGACTGGGAGCATTGTTTTTTAATAAAAGAAATCTGAATATACTTACAGGTTGTAAGGAAGGAAGTAGTGGAAACAAAATTTCAGAAAAGGAAATTAACAATAATAACCAGGACCAATAGAAGATTGAAGGATCATATCATACCTATTACCCTGACTACTGGAGGGATTATCTTTGAATATGAAGCACTTTTTAAAAATTGCAGCCATTTGAAACACCTAAAAATCTTTATGTAGACACCTCACTGAGGAAAATATACAGATGGAAAATAAGCCTATGAAAAGATGCTTCACATCACATATCATCAAGGAAAAGCAAATTAAAACAACAAGATACCACACACATCTATTAGAAATAGTCAAAATCCAGAACACGGATAACTTAATCCAGAACACTGGTAACACTGATAACACCAAATGCTGGCAAGGATATGAAGCAACAGGAACTCTTATGCAGTACTGGTGAGACTGCAAAGTCGTATAGTTTTGTTTTCTTACAAAATTAAACTTCCTCTTACCATGTGATACAGCAATTATGCTTCTTGGTATTTACCCTAAACAAGCTGAAAACTTATGTCCACACAAAAACCTGCACAGGCATGTTTATGGCACCTTATTCATAATTGCCAAAACTGGGAAGCACCAAAATGTCCTTCAGTAGGTGAATGGATACATAAACTGTGGTATATCTAGACATCTAGAAATAAGCTATCTAACCATGAAAAGACATGGAGGAATCTCAAATGCATATTACTAAGTAAAAGAAGCCAATCTGAAAGGCTACATATTATATGATTCCAACTATAAGATATTCTGGAGAAGAAAAAGTATGGAGGCAGTAAAAAGATAAGTGGTAGTTGGAGGTTGGTGGGAGGGAGGTGTGAATAGGTGGGCACAGAGGATTTTTACGGCAGTGAAAATGGTCGGTATGATACTGTAATGGTGGGTACATGTCACTTTGTCCAAACCCATAGAACATGCAGCACTTACAGTGAATCCTAATATAAAGTATGAGGACTTCAGGTGATTATGGTGTGTCAGTATAAGTTCATTAACTGTAACAGATGCATCACTCTGATGAGAATGCTGATTATGGGGGAAGCTATGAATTTTTGGGAACAGGGAGATATATGGAAAATTTCTATGCTGTCTCTTAATTTTGTTCTGAATTGTGAATCTAAAACTGCTCTAGAAAAAGAAAGTCTTAAAAAAATCTTTATGTGAATGAATCATAAGATATTATTTCTCAGAATCATAAAATATAAAAAAGACACTATTTCCATAGTGAAAGCCCCCAAAAAGTATAAAACTCTTAACAGTGAAAACATATTTTTTAAGGGTGGTTGTTACTATGTGATTGTGGCACTAAGGAGCAGGGAAAACTTCTTGGGGTCCCTAAAATCATATCAATTATATGATCACATACCAGACCTATCTGTGAAATCTTTCCCAAGTAGGTGAATGTCCTTGTCTGTCATTTCTAATATTTTAGTCCTTCATTTTCTTTCTCATACATTCAAAATTTCACTGTCCATGACACTAAAAAAACAAGGGGGCTCTCCTTTTAAATCCCTGGAAGATTCCCTGAATGCATAGTTCCAAATGCTAAGACTAAGAACAACAAAGAACAAAGAATGATTGGTTTACTTGAGTCAAATTCTGACCTTTAGATTATATATTATTGGAATATAGGTGATCAAGAATGGTTAATTCCCAGATATATGAAGGAGCTTGTACCTATTAAAATTTGTCTATTGTTTGTGGTTAATCAAAGACAGGTAAGGTTGACTGCTTGTTTGATTGTTGGCCTCTAAAAAGTTCTATCTTGGTGAAATTACCCTTGTCCTCTTAGGCCTGATTTGTTCAGTCGCATCCTGACTTGCCATTTCCCTGATTTTTCTTCCCCAACAACAATCTAATCGTTTAAAAAATACATGATACTTTGAAGTTTAGTGTCTTACATCACATATATATGTGTGTGTATATATAAATCATAGTAGCTAGGGACTCTCACCTAGTTAGATACAACTCAGAATGCTTGACTGTTATCAGATGGACCTAGATCATGGGACTTAATATATTTTGTGAAAAGGTCTTAAAAATTCAGTGTTTTATTTTTTCAGTTTGTGGAAATGCAGATGATAGAGGTTATAAGTCCTGTATAATAGTATCAACATAAAGTAATAGTTTGAATACTAGCTTTTCAGAAACTACTTCAAATACATTTTAAGAAATAGCTTTCTATATTAAATATGTGGCACATCTTATGTGCTAGGTATTACTGTGGCCACTTTAAAAATATTAATGTATTCAATCATTGTAACAACAGAATGAGACAAATCCTGTTATCACCACCATGAATGGTACAACTGAGGATAAGAGAGGTTAAATAATCTGCCCAAGGTTACATCACACATAAGCACCAAAACCAAAATTAAAGCTCAGATAATTTGATTCTAAAAGAGGATGAACTTACTAATACACTATACTATGTCTTTGCTAAAACAAAGATAAGAAGTTCTCAAGAAGTAGCAGAGGGGAGGCTCCTGGGGCTAGACTAGGGAGACCAGCTTAAAGTTGTCATTTTATTGTGGGTTTCTCTCTTTACATCTTTGATGGCAACATGATGTACTATTCCTTGTCTGTCTAAAGCTCTGCCTAACAATGACCAGAAGCAAACTTTTCTGCTTCCACTTAGTAGAGCTAAGTCAGGCTAGCATTTAAAAAGCATTATTAACAATACCAAGTGCAAAAAAAGGAAATTTTTTGACAAAGGAAGAAAATCCAAGACACATAAAACATTAAGCTGGTAAGCAGACATATCTGATTCAACAATGATTCACACTAGTTTACCAGATTACAGTTTCTGTTGCATCCCCATACTTATATCCTTAACTAGTCTCTCACTCCAAAGAAATGCAAACTTTCCCTATTACCTACTCTGCTACCTCAGTAAAGGGTTAGATTAATGGGAACCAATTTGTTCCTTCAATTTGTTAAATTGTCTATTTAAAGTCTCCTAAGAAAATAAAAAGAAGAGGTTCTCCTCTATCACTCACCTAGAAAGCTCCATTCAGTTTCTGATATAGGTTTTGAGGGATACTTTCCTGGAAGGACTATAGCCATCTAAAACACCACCGCTTACCTAAGCTGGAGTATCCTGTCCACAATATAATAATATATAGTGACTATGCAAAAGGATTACAGATACATAGAATAGCAAGCTTTTACAGTTCAAAACTACTTCCATACTTAAGTGAGAAATTATATTTAGAATTTTCCTTTTATATAAACTTAAAATATGTTCCTGGGTGGGAATATGTTGAGATAGTAATTTCAAGGTTAGTTTTCTAAAAAAGTGGTCACTCAACATCTACAATTAGAAAGCAAAAATTACATCTACTAATTAATGTGTTGCATTTTTATTAAATGTTTTATAAAAATATTTTATATTAAATTCTGTGGAAATGCAGTCAAATCTACAAACTGCATCAGTTAGGTTTAAAAAAAATGGACATCTTCACTGTCTCTAAGGAATATGTAGCATTACATAATTCAATTCTCAAACTATTTTTGCCTGTATGGAGTTATACAAGATAAACAATAGTTTGGCACCAATTCATCAAAAAGAAGGCAAGTTTTCATTATAATATCTTATTTTTGTATTTAATAAGACTCTTATAATTGTCCAAAAGGTGATATTTTACTTTTACATAGCTTAGCAATGTATTAATATATTCACTTTCATTTTTAAACCATACAGATAAGCATTATATTTTATAACATAATACAAATAATCTAAAAGGCTGGACACATGCATTAAAATTACCTTCATATTTAGATTTAATACTGTATTGGTTCCAACCCCAAAATTGGAGAGAAAGAGAGGTGAAATGTGAACAAACTCAAAAATCCCTTTCTTTAAAGACAAAATGTCAAGGAAAACTTGAACATTTTTGCCTAACCATAGCACAGTGACTTCTAAAGTTTCGTCTGGAAGCTCCCCCACACGGTAAACTTGATGGCCCTAAGTTATCTGCCTTAAAATGGTCAACAGTGAAGCAAAGAACAGAAGTTTTTATAAATTCTCAGGTAGTCTTAAATTGCTTTCACTTCCTAAGGACAGATTACGGTTAGGGAAAATTTGCAGGGCCTCAAACCAGTGCTGGAATTTACATGTCAAGGATCAATGTGTATTTTAAGGAATAAACACATTCTTTGCAAGCAGTTGAAAAGCAACTATGAGGAGAAGAAAGAGAGAAACTATTTCCTTGACTTATCAAAGACAAAGCATTGATGATACAGGATTTTGTGTATCTCCTTTTTAAAATAATTTAGAATATAGTGACAAAAAGGGTTGAAAACAGGATTTCCAAATGCAAAATGTATACACTTACTAGTACATGCCATGGAAGGCGGGTCTTTTTCAGCTCGGAAATAGCCCTTTTCACATTGACAAATAGATGTTGCTTCCATGTAGGTTAAACTGTGTGGAGGGCATTTGGAACACTTTGTGTTGCCAGCAAATGCTTTATAGAATCCTGGTCTGCAAGCTGTAAAAACAGGAAAAACAGTATTTTTGTTGTTACTGCTAGAGGTATTTCATTTGTACATGTACTACATATTTTAGTACATACACACTTTGAATCACAGCTTTCAGTGTCATATAAGCACAGAAAAGTCAATATATGTTAATGAAAGAAATTAGTTTTTCAAAATTAGTAACACAATATTGACTTCACATTTTAGCTGAGATTGCTATTTTAAAAAGTATACCTGATACACACAGAAGCAAAATAACTGTTTACCAAAGTGAGAGGATGCCTATAACTGGCAGTATGGGAGATGATTTTGTGTAGTTCTTGGAGATGGTATTAAATAACATTAAATCACACTATTTAAAATGTATTTACACTCCATTTCTCCCTCAGTCTTTCTGAGCACTCAAGGAGAAAGTCCTTGTCTGGTGTTGTTATACCTTAAGACCTTTCTTACTAGCAAATTTTTTTTAGGGAGGAACAAAATAAGAGGTATCCTTAGGCTTAGAGAGAATTCAGCAAGATCTAGCTATAACCCTGATTTATTTTTATCATGTTTACTGTTACTTTTATGGAAAACAATTTTTCTGTTTATTACAATGTAAATCCATTTACAATTTTTGAGATAAAGGGTAGGTAGACAAAATATTAACTATATAGGACATATATGCTATGCATATATGGCAAAAATCATGAAAATTTTATGCAAATAACTAAATTTTCACAAAAAAATCATGAAAATGAAATGCAAATGACTAAAGTTATATGAGCAAATGTTTTATTGAACCTTATTTTCTCTTTGCTTAAATCCATGTTGTCATTTTCAGTGTATATTTTTACAGGAATGGAAGACCTAGGGAAAAGGATCCTATGTTAGGTATGCGTCCATGGTCCTGAATGGTGAGGGGCTTAGCTGTTTCTGGTCTCAAAGAAAACAATACTGGCCACTTTCTCAATTAACAATGTATACAAAAAATAAACGAAAAGTAATTTTTCAGTGACATATATTATGTTAGAAAATATTTTAAGAAACTATTTATTTTAATCCAATATATTTTCACACAATGCTCCATTTAAAAATATACAAGAATCCTAATTTAACAATAATTTATCTGTTGGAAAGGCTTCTGCTTATATACTCAGGAAGGAAAGGAAAAAAAAATTCATTCAGTTTCTTTAGGTAAATTTACTTCCTACCTAAATGAGTCCCAAAACAACTATTTATCTTTCCTTAGGTAGATATGTTGATGAATGTTCCTCCAGATCTAAATGACTACATTTCTATTGATACGAGTATTATACCGTACACCACTGACTGTTATCCTCTCATAGTCTAAACCATGAAAGCTGATAAACATAAACACGTATGCCATAATTATTATTTTTGATAATTTGTATTTTCTTTTATAATTATACTTTTTAGCAATGATCAAGCAATTCAAGGGAAGGAAAATTATCAATTATGTAAAGTAAAATAAACATTAAAAAGTTGGTTATTCAATATCAATGAGGTTGTGAGTGATGAGACATAAATAACAATCATATCTTCTCTAACTGGCTGATAAATTGATTTACACTATCTAGCTAATCAGTAATAGAACTGTGTCATCAAAATATTCTCTTAGCCTATTAAAATTCAGCTTGTAAATAATACATAATTAACCCATTAACATCTTTGGAAATAAAATATTCTCTAAAAAATATTTAATTTCTAAATTTAACCTTCAGACATAGTAGTTATAAGACAGTGTATTATAGAATATTCAATAAATCTATCATATATATTTTGTCAATAAATTATTTTCTACTTAATGATGCAGTTTAAAATAACTGAATATATTCTACAGAATACATTTGTAATACTTTGCCAAAAAGTTTTAAATGTTGAACCCAGCTAGAAATTTAAATAATATCTTTAATCTATTAAACTATTTTTCAATCTAATAAACTAGTGAACTGAAAATCTAAATGGGGACTTTGCATTCTGTGCATTCCACTGTTATTTTGAATAAAATCAAAATATTATTATAAACCTTTTAAGTGACCTTTTAAAATAAGTTTGAAACAATTATGAATGTGTATGCTATAGAACTACAATAAAAGATTATTACATGCACAGATATAAAACTTATACAACATAGACAAGAGCTCTAAACATTTTGTTTTCTTCCTGTTAATGGCCATTCAAATCTCAGCCATAAATATTGTTAAGCATATAAAGCAGCTTACTTTTAATCTAAATTTGTGCAGCAAACCGTTTTGACCTTTTATTTATTTTCTTTGGTAAATAAAAAAACAAAAATATAAATAATTCTTTTCTGCCTGTTTTCAGTTAATTTGTCACCTTCTTTTAGAATATTCTTAGAATGCTTGGAATATTTCTTAAAATATTTAGAATAGTTTAGTGATATTTAAATTGTTGAATATCTGTTTCCTAACTCATCTGTCAGCATCCATTCTTGCCCACTTTAATCTACTCTGTCCAAAAGTAATATTAAACTATATATACATAAGCCATATATATACAATTTTTAAAGTTTATAGTAGCTGCACTAAAAAACTAAAAAGTAACATAAATTAACTTGATAACATCTATTATTTAACCCAACATATCCAAAATATTATCATTTCAACATGCAATCTAGCTATTGAAATATTTTATATTATTTGGGTTTGTTTGTACTAAGTATTTGAAATCTGATATGTATTTTACACTTACATCACATCTCAATTCAAGCTAGCCACCTTTCAAGTGTCCCATCACTTCATGTGCCCTGTGGTTACCACATTAGATAG